CTCTTGTTTTCTATTTTCAGTCTTACAGGTCTGTTTTACTTTTTGTAATTTTATATTTGTGTGGAGTCTAGGTGATGTTGTTACATATGTTAGTCTCTGGTTGTTGTCTGCTGTTGTTGGTGAAGGCATTTGCAATGAAAAAATCATTGGTCTTGCAAAATTCTTTCATGTGATAAAAAGCTTTGTTTTTGTCACTAAAGCCACATTTTCCAACCACAAATCTTTGTTTCCAGCTCTCATATTCCAATTACCAGTAATTATTAATGCATCTTGATTACATGTTTGTAATTTCAGACTGAAGAAATTTGTAGAATTCTTCAGTTTCATCATTGTATTTTGTGGTTGATGTGTAAATTTGAATAATAATGATATTATTTGGTCTTCCTTGTAAGTGTATAGATATTATCTGATCACAGACAGCATTGTACTTTAAAATAGATCTTGAAATATTCTTTTTGATGGTGAATGTGACAACATTTCTCTTCAATTTGTCATTCCTGCCTTAGTAAACCATATAACTGTCTTATTAAAAATGACCAATACTCATCCATTTCAGATTATTAATGCCTACGATTGGGTAAGACATAGAAACAATTGTGAGGATGGCATAGAATTGGACAGTGTTTCCTTCTGTTGTGCATAGGGTAGCTTTGAGTCAGAACTGACTTAATGGGAACTACCACCAACAAGAAAATGCCTAAGATCTTGATCTTTTTGTGTTCCATTTCCTTTCTTTTTTTTTCTTTCTTTCTGTGAAACAGTAGTTTAATTTCCAGTATTTGTTTGCAAATGGGACTGAATGAATCTCTTTTCCCAAAGTGTGAAACTTCCTCCTAAGATAGTTAAAAAATAGAGCTAGTTCATGGCATTTTAAACACATTATCTTGTCATATGTTAATAAAGTTCATTTGAGTGACACAAAGCTACCTTAGAAAATGTACTGCTAGGTATGATGGAGGAAGGCTATACAGCTTTTGGCAAAATTGCTTTTCCAGACGAGCAAATCAAAACAACACAATCAAGAAATCAAGGAGGCTACAACTGGACATCAGAGCTACATCTTCTTATGTCTGTGCTAGAAAATCGTATTTATCCAGAATGGACTAAAATTTCAGAAAAAAAGGGCATTTTCAAATAATTCTTACTTGACCCATTTTAAGTTATTTCTTCCCCTCCCCTCCCCTTGCCACTTCTAATTTCACATGATGCAGCAGAAAAATGGCTATTAAGAATCGGCTGTTTTATTTTACTTTCTGTAGTGAGACTGTCATAGAGCCTGGATATTTCAGGCTCATATGCATCCATGACCAGTGTCCCACTGTGGTCAAAGAACTTAGCAATGGATTTAGTGAACTCACTTTCTCGATGCTGCTTTGTTCTCCCACTGATGAAGGTCAGTTTCAGAGTGTATTTGTCATCAAACCTTTTGAGACTGGAGGACAGTTGCCAAGTATCATCAAGATCCATTCCTGTAGGATCTTTCCTGTGAGCCACAAGAAAGATGCTCTTCTCCTTACATGAAGTATAGTCCATTTAACTTTTCTCTCTATTTACTGCAGTCTATTTTATCCTGTAATCAACCTGACCTTCTCACTATCTGGATCTCTGTTCCTACATGTTTACCTTCTTTTACATTGAACTTGTTTTGATCATAGACTGATCTCCCAGATTTTCTGAGTTTGTTCTTATAGTTTTGTTCTGTTCTCA